CCATGATGTCGTCATGGAGGAGTGGAAGAGGACTCCAGTGGCAATGTATGAAGGTGTGGTAAACTCCATGCCCAGGAGGGTTAAGGCAGTGCTGGAAAATAACGGTGGCCACACAAATTATTGACACTTTGTTCCTAATTTGGACATTTTTACTTAGGGGCATACATACTCACTTTTGTTGCCAGCGGTTTAGACATTAATGGCTGTGTGTTGAGTTATTTTGAGGGGACAGCAAATTTACACTGTTATACAAGCTGTACACTCACTACTTTACATTGTAGCAAAGTGTCATTTCTTCAGTGTTGTCACATAAAAAGTTAGAATAAAATAGTGACAAAAATGTGAGGGGTGTTCTCACTTCTGTGAGATACTGTAAATGCACACCGTTACACCAGTTCCTGGACCTTTCATTAAGGTGCCCACACAGTAGAACCCTGCGTTTTACTATAAGGGCCGGGATATTTGGGCCCTAACAGTGTGTGTGTGGGGGGAAGGGCTGTGACATGCATGGGAGGCTGTGATATAAAGGATCTGATTCATAGCACCAACATGGCACTCGAACCTCCACTGGAAGAAAACCAGACCAACAAGATTGACGTCATGGAGTGGCCAGCCCAATCCCCGGATCTTAATCCAATAGAAAACTTGTGGGGTGACATCAAAATGCAGTTTCTGAGGCAAAACCAAGAAATAGAGAAGAACTGGGGAATGTAGTCCAATCATCCTGGGCTGGAATACCTGTTCACAGGTGCCAGAAGTTGGGTGACTCCATGCAACACAGATGTACAGCAGTTCTCAGAAACAGTGCTTATACAACTAAATATTAATTAAGTGATTCAAAGGAAAGAAATGCCGTAGCGAAATAAAGAAGAAATAGCGCAGGGCATACATGACTAGGCCCAGAGTGGGGGAAGGAAGAGCAGAAAGGGTTAAGGTAGCTCCAGGGGGATTTGTTATTGTTAGTGGGGGGTAGCTGATTGGTAGAGGTTGGTGTAGGTGGGGTTTTGCTGCACCTTAGGGTGGGAGGTTCTGTGAGGGGGCGTCAGTTAGCTGGACGGCAAGAGTGTGAGCTTGGTGTCTGTTTAGCACACCTTGCTTCAGGCCACCTTTAGCCCTGCCATGGACGGCCTTTTGGCTCAGCTGCGGGAGGCAGCGGAGGACAGGGGATGGACTGGCTGCTGCAGAGCCGTGTCTCGGATCCCTTGCAGGATCCGGGCTCATCACCTGCAGCAGGGGGGGGGGCGGGAGCGCCCATGTGCTCGGAGGTCTAGGCCTCCGGAGCGCTTTAGCCCGGGCTCCCCCCCCCCCCTCCCAGAGCTCAGCGCCACCATGGGAGCCCCGCTCGGGCCCCTCCGGCTCCGCTTGCAGGGCGCTCCTTTGCCTCTGCTAGCGGGGAAGCCGGGAGGAATCCCCGCCATCGGCGGAGCTCGGTGGGCGGGGCCTTGTGTGGGGGAAGCCCCTCCCCCCCGCCCGCACGGCATGGAGGCAGAAGAAGAATCTGCGGCTCCTCCACTGACCAGGTGCTGGTCAGGGAGGGAGCCCTGCGTGGGAGGCGCACAGCTGCGGCTGCCGGGCTGTCTCCTGCTGCGGCCGGCGGGCCCCCTGAGAAGTCTGGGGCTCCGGCTCCAGTGAGGCAGCAGCGTGGGATCGGCACTGGACGGAGTGCAGCAGGGAGTTCTGCGGCTGCTGGGCTGTCTACTGCTGCGGCCGGCGGGCCCCCTGGACGGTCTGGTGCTCTGGCTCCACAGCAGCATCAGCGGAAGACTGGAGCTGGGCGGAGGGCAGCTGGAAATGCTGCAGGTCGGAGCCCAGGGACGGCGGTGAGCGTGTCTGGTGCCGGGAGGCGGAGTCGTGAGCGGCACAGACCAGCAGGACCCGTGGCTCCTGGGACCGGGAGGCCATCTGAACAGCGTGCGGAGGACGAGAGGTCGGAGGGCGAGCTGTCGGAACCCGATGCGGGGGGCGACGGTTTGGCCGCTCTACAACGGTGGATCGTGAGCGCGCGGCTGAAGGGGCATCTCCTGGGCAGCCTGGTGAGTTACCTGTTCTGGGGTCTATCTCTTTTTCTTCTGCGTTATGGGACCTGCTGGGGGGTGTGGTAGGGCCGCTACGGTGGGCGCGGCCTCTGCGGCGTGCACTGTTGGCGTTCCCCCGTCGGGTATGGGTGGGGGTCTCGGTGATGTGATTTCCGGTTTGCGGGACCTGTTGCGGCGTCTTGAGTGGGGCGGTGGTGGGGCGCCTGGGCCTGCTTCTGCGTGGCTCCCGCCGGCTGGTGGGGAAGGTTTCGGGGTTCTTGTACAGGACAGCGGGGACGTGCGGCGTCCGGGGGTCTCTTCTCCTCCGGGGTCTGGGCTAGGGGTTGTTCCGGCCACGACAGGTGATCGGGGTTCTGCGGCCCCCTCCGCGGTGTTGGGTACGGATTCGAGGGTGTCCGGGCCTGTCGGCTTGGCGGACTTTGAGGGCCCTTTGGGTGCGCACTTACAGTCGGAGGTACGGGAGAAGATTTGGTGTGGGGAGTACGTTGATATATTCTCACTCTTGCCTTTGGAGCGTTTTCCTTTTGAAGGGTCCCGGGTTGACGAGAGTAGGCGGGTGGAAGCGGAGCAGCGGCGTTTTCGTTTTATCCCGCGTACCTTTGTAAATTGGTTGCAGGCGTTCGCGATCATGGTTAGTGTGAGTGGGGAGAAGGCTCCTGAACATTGCTCGGCACTGTTCTGTTACCTTGATGCCATTGGTGAGGCTCACAGGGTTTATGGGGGTACTGCGTGGCTTCGGTACGATGAGCAGTTTAGGCAGCGGAGGGCGGTTCGCCAGTCGTTGCGTTGGGGATCATAGGGACATTGGCCTCTGGATTTGACTCATGACACCGGCGAGGGCCCCTGGTTCGTTTTTTCAGAGCGGGGGCCGGCGGTTCGTTCTCCCCGGGACAATCGGCCTCCAGGCATCAGGGGTTCTGCTGGCAGTTCCAAGAGGGGACGTGGCGATTTGGTGGGTCTTGCCGTTTTAGGCACGAATGTTCCGGGTGCGGGGGCTCCCATCCCTTGTCGCGCTGTTTCCAGCGGGGTCGAGGCCTTCCCGGAGAGCATGCTGGTAAGAGGGACGACTCCGGTGCGAGTGGAAAGGATGGGGCCTTTCTTAAAAAGGTATCCTGATCGGGCAGCTGCAGTGCTGCTCACGGCGGGTTTTTCGGAGGGTTTTTTCGCATCCCGTGTACTTTGACTTTGATTCCTCCCTTAGCTCGGAATTTGCGGTCGGCCTTGCGGCATGAGGAGGGGGGTTTCGGCTAAGTTGCGTAAGGAAGTGGGGTTGGGACGCATGGGGGGTCCGTTTGCTTGCGCTCCGTTTTCGGATTTGGTTGTTTCTCCCTTGGGGGTTGTGCCCAAGAAGGAGCCGAATGCGTTTAGGTTAATTCCCCACCTGTCCTTCCCAAAGGGGGGGTCGGTGAATGATGCTATTGATTCGGAGTCGTGTTCGGTGTCTTACACGTCTTTTGATGCGGCTGTTTTCTGGGTCCATCGGTATGGGCGCGGTGCGCTCATGGCAAAATCGGATGTTGAGTCGGCGTTTCGGCTGTTGCCAGTCCATCCGGACAGTTTTCGTTTTTTGGGTTGTCATTGGCAGGGCTATTTTTACGTTGATAAGTGCCTTCCTATGGGGTGTTCTATATCTTGCGCTTTGTTCGAGAAGTTCGGTTCATTCGTGGAGTGGGTGGTGCAGGATGTCTCAGGGGTGAATTCAGTCATCCAGTATTTGGATGATTTTCTTTGCGTGGGTCCGCCGGATTCCGGAGTATGTGCAGTTTTGCTGGCCACTTTGCAACACGTTGCGGAACGTTTCGGGATTCCTCTGGCGGTGGATAGGACTGTGGGCCCGGCTACGGTGATGACTTTCTTGGGCATTGTTTTGGATTCGGCACGATGGAGTGCCGCTTGCCTGAGGTTAAGCTGGTGGCTCTACAAGGGGAACTCCGTGGGGTGCTGGGGCAAGCGTAAAATTCAGCTGCGGGCCTTACACTCGTGGTTGGGCAAAACTTAACTTCGCTTGTCGGATTTTGCCCATGGGTCGGGTGTTCTGCCGCCGGTTGGTGGCGGCGACGGCAGGGATTACCTCCCCTTTACATTTTATTCGGTTGACTCGGGATCATCGGGAGGACTTGCATTTGTGGCACACCTTTTTGGATTCGTTTAATGGGCGGGCTCTCTGGATGTCTGGCCCTGTTAGCACTTTTGACTTGGAATGGTTCACGGACGCGGCGGCGGGCTATGGGGCTTTTTCCAGGGTCCATGGAGTGCGGCCTCGTGGCCTGCTTCCTGGCGGGAGGCGGGTTTTCTTTGCAACTTGGTGTTGTTGGAACTTTTTCCGGTGGTGTTGGCGGTTGAGGTTTGGGGAGAGAATTTTCGAAATCTAAACGTGCGTTGTCACTGTGACAATTTGGGGGTGGTTCAGGTCATCAATCGGGTCTCAGCTTCTTCACGACCGGTGGTGGCCTTGCTTCACCATTTAGTGTTGCGTTGTCTGCGTCTGCATGTTTTTCTCCATGCGGTGCGTCTCCCTGGGGTTGATAACACCGTGGCTGACGCTTTGTCTGGCTTTTAGTGGGACAAATTCCGAGAGGTGGCGCCGGCGGCGGAGCAGCACGGGGTTCCTTGTCCCGACGGGCTGTGGGAGATTGCCTTGGAGTCCTTGCGGGCTGGATCCGGCGTTCGGTGAGTGAGGCGACTTGGTCTGCATACTCTAGGGTCTGGCGGGAGTGGCTGGATCTGCTACAGCGGGTTGAGATTGATCCCTGGGGGCCGGAGGTGGTTTTGGCGGTATTGTACTTTGTGGCGCGGAATTTTGGGTGGGGGGGTGTCGGCTGCTGCGGTGGATCGCCGACGACGGGTTTGGCATTCTTCTTTAAGTTGCAAGGGTGTCGGGATTTCACTGAAGATTTTTGGGTTCAGCAGGCTCTCTGGGGTTACCGGAGCGCTCATCGCTGTAAGGATTCTCGTCGTCCGGTGTCTTTTGAGTTGTTGGGGTCTTTGTTTGTGCATTTGTGGTCTGTGTGTTCTTCGGACTTTGAGGTGTGCTTATTTCGGGCGGCTTTTGTGGTGGCCTTTTTTTTGGGGCGTTGCGTATTGGGGAGCTCGTTAGTCCGTCCAAATCGGTTCTTGGGGGGTTATTGGTGGATGAGGTCAGGTGCTCCGGTGAATGGGTGGAGGTGCTGGTACGTCGGTCTAAGACGGACCAATTGGAACGTGGTGGTCGGGTGCGTTTTTTTTTCGTTCTTCCGGCTTCGCTGGTGTGCCCAGTGCGGGCGGTTCAGGAATTTTTGTCCCGTCGTCCAGTGGGGCAGGGGGTGTTTTTTCCGGCACGCTGAGCGGGAGCTGGTGCGAGATGTCAAGCTGGATTTTCTTCAGTTGCGGTGGGCTTATCCGGGGATGGTGGTGGTGTGGTCCGACATTGTCGCCCGTACCTCTTGGCATTGGGCGCGGTCGGTGGAGAGGCTCAACAAGGCTCGGATCAAGGTTAACAGAGAGGTGGGGCGTTTCTTTAGTCACCATGGGGGGTTGGTGGTCCGGCACTTGGAGTTGGAGGTGGATACTTGGCGGTATCTCAGGTGCGATGGGGTGCATTTGAATGCGGTTGGGACAGATTTTATGGTCCCTGGATCTGCAGGATGGCATACAGCGGGCTGTTCGTTTGTGGCGTGGCACGCATGGGTAAGGGCTTACCCAGCGTGCTGTGGCGGTTGTTGGTCTTTGGAGGCGGTTCTTATTTGGAAGGTAAACAACAATGGTGTGGGACCCATCCGTGGTATGGGATGCCCGGGGACATTCCCAGTTAACCAAGGTTTAACTGGAAGGTGGTGGTGCTGCACTGCGGACGGTATGGTTGTCTCCGAGCTGGTTGGTTGCGGCTGGAGGCCTAGTTTATATGGTTGTCCGCAGGTGCATTTCGGATCGTTTTGGGGTGCCTTCGAAGACCAACAACAATTCTGTGGGTTTCTGTTATAAGGAATGGTTGGTGTATTGTAACTTGAGTTCTTAATAAAAGGCCATGTTGGCCATTTACTCCAAAATTGGTGTTATGTCTTTTGTTAGTATAATTGGTTAAGGGGAAGGGGGTTTGTGCGGAACGGTAATGGTGGTAATGGGGAAGTGGACGAGCCTATCTCTGGTGCAATAGTCAAGCAAAATCTTCAAACATTTTTCAGTTTATATAGTGAATGTTTGAGTTTGTAAAGAAGAATACAAACACTGCTATTTTTTTTGAACAGTCTAATATTCAGTTTTCTTCAGCTTTTTTAGAGGAACAACACAAATTTGATATATTTTTCTTCATGTTTTGATTTGGAATAGAATGTGTAGTGTTCCCAATGCATTTGTGTGTATGGAAATAAAAGCTATTAGAAGGATTTTGAGCTTTATTCACTTTTTTCAACACACTGCTATTATTTTGAACACAACTGTACATCAGAACACATGTTGAAGTTTTTTTTTCTAAAATAATCACATGACACAAAGGGCAAAGTGTGTTATCATTCAAGTGTTTCTGGAGATAAGTGATATCTGAATTTGGCCATAGTGGTAGGATGCACCAGGTGCTAGGTCCCTGTTTCACTCTGTGGTGCCCTTAATCCTGGCATACCACACACAGCACATTGTAATGACCTACTATGGTTGCTGGGGCATTTTAGTTACAATTTGAACAAACCCTAAGATTTGCATACTAAGCAATTTCCGACTGCAGGGAGCAACTCATGCATCACAAACAAATTTAGATACTTGGTGTGACCTAGAAAGGTCCTTTCCCTCCCTGGCTTTGCTTGGAGAAAAGGTAACAGTGGTGGGTCTTTGCCTCCCAGACCTTTTCTCAAGAGGATGTGAGTCCAGAGGTCCTCTATTCCCTGATCTGCTGCCTGGGGAAGGTGTAGCTCCAGAGTGGTCCATATATTATGGCAACCGAGAAAGGTCCACTCTCCTCCTAAGCCCCCCTGCCTGCGGGGGGGAAGAGATCAGATCCAAGAAGAGAATTTGTTTCCTAGCTACCCGTCTGGGTCTAGAGTGTCCTAAACTGACCTGTGAGAGGTCTGAAGAGTCCTAAACTGGTCTGTGGCAGAGGTTAAAAAAGGTAGCTGCTCACTTGGGCCTACAAAGTTCATATTAGGCATAGGAGCATAAAGATACTGGAAGATAGTTTGTGGAGGGAAACTTTGCTGTGTTTTTTGGGTAACCTGTACCCCTAACTCTCCAATAGACATGCACGTTTCGTTTCATAACTAAATGATTTTCCTCTGAAAATTTGATTTTCGGAGATTCAGATGTATGTGAATCTCTGTCTGGACATAGTAACGAATGTAAGCAAAAGAAGTTATAACGAAGTAACAAATTAATTTATTTCATTCGGATGATGTCACATGATTCAGTAGTTTGAGTCCATGGGGAAATTATTGAAATTTTCTAATTAGTTTGATGATTTGGATTCAAGTACATTTTTGATTTAAATTGTAATTATCACAGTCATTTAGTTCAGTTCCACCATCTAACAAAATTCTTAGATTTAAAAAATTCAGGGCCACTGAATTATGCATTATTTATTCCACTGCGCCCGAAAATATCAAATCCTTCCAAATAGTTTTGGTATATAAATAATGAATCCATCCAAAATATTGAACTTGTAGCAATCTGAAAAAATTGCTAAATTTTTTTAATCCACCGGACCAAAGAATATACGAAATTAATGTCGAAGATAACGAAACGAATCCCGAAAACAAATCAGTTCAACATAATGAACATGACAAATCAAAATTCTCCAATGAACAAATGTATCTGAAACAAAACAAAAAATTTCTGGCATGCACAAGTCTACTCCCTAACTGTCTCTAGACTTTTGAGCCAATAAATTTTTCAAAAAGATGGTTGAAAGTCTTAAATCTTGTCTGATTGTTGCTAACCGTTTGGGTGCAGCTACAGGGCAGGTGACTGTTAGGAAAGTTAGAGCTAAGGGGGTCATTGTTATACTACCTAATTCCAAAGGGCCAACATGCAGTCACTTGTAGAGGCAGTTTACACTGTATTGGTTAGCGCTTGCACCCAGAAATGGGAACATGACAGTTTTACTTCGTGGGTCAGCAGTCTCTATAACCTTCATGCTGGGAAATCCCACCCTTACTATTGTTTACATTCATCCGCTCATTGGTTGTGTCACATGAAGGCAAGACGGTCACATTCCTGATGTTTGATGATAGAGCAGAGCTCACCCCCTACCGATAGCCTGAAACTGCTTCACAACACAAATTGCATTTGAAATTAAACAGAATAAAAGTAAAACAAATCAACTTTGTAGAGATTAACATGCAATTTATAGTTTAACTGTATTTCTGTACACAGTATGCACGGTGCAAGTACCCCATATACTTATTGCATAGCTGCACGCAGAATTGACAGGACAGACAGTAACTGGTACACTACACATATTGCATGGCTGTACCCCCGCATTTACAGGACTGAGTTATCCACTGCATGGCTGCACACAGTATAGGGCACAGATCTAAAAAGCATGATTTCACAATGTTTTAGCCAAGCACAGATATAAATTGCATGGCTGCACACAGTACTCATTATAAACGTATGTTGCGGCTTAACACTGCACTTGCGGTACATATATACTGTATACTGCATGGTTGCACACACACAATTCATTACAATTCAACTGCAAGCTTAATTTAACCGCTTTAGGACCGCCCTATAGCAGATATACTGCTACAGGGCAGCACCTGTGCGCAGGATCACGTATATATATGTCACTCTGCATTTCCTCATGCATGCCCTACCCGCGCCGCAATTCGATGTCAATCACTGGGTCCCGGCCGGTACTTACCCGCAAGCGCCTGGTGATTACCGAGCATTTCCGACGGGGAGGAAGATTGTTTGTAAACAAAACAATCTTCTTCTCTGTCACCTCGTGCACAGTGCTCGGGATGGCTGCGCACAGTACAGCCATCCCGATCAGTGTGCTTACAGTGAAGAACACACCCCCTAGTAAAACACTTCCAGCACACACTTAACCCTTTGATCGCCCCTCACATTAACCCCTTCCTGTCCAGTGTCATTAGTACAGTGTCAGTGCTTTTTTTTTTTTAGCACTGATCACAGTATTGGTGTCACTGGGATGTCAGTGACACCAAATTAGTTTCCCCTCCCCCCGTGTCAAAATGTTCGCCGCAGTCCCGCTAAAAGACGCTTATTGCCACCATTACTAGTAGAAAGAGAAAAATTTAAAAATACCATTATCTATACCGCCATTTGTAAATGCTATAACTTTCATGTAAACCAATTAATTTACACGTATTGGGATTTTTTTTTAACAAAGACATGGAGCAGAATACATTTTGTTCTAAATTTATTACGGAATTAGATTTTTTAAATTTTTTTACTGGACATGTTTAATAGCAAAAAGTCCAAAAATATTGTTTTTTTTTCTATAAATTGTCAGTCTTTTTTTGCTTATAGCGCAAAAAATAAAAAAGGCTGTATAGAATTATGCATGTGTGCGTATGACGTATGAAGTACACTATATTGTATGGCTTCACAATTTTGCACATTTGCAGCATATGCATGGCTGCCCACACTATTCATTATAGATATCTGCTAAATGGTCACACAGTATGTAGCCCCTTTACATCCTGGCTTTATAGGCATTGTTGTTTTCATCTGCAGTATGAAGCAGACTGTGTCCTGATCACGTAGCTCTACAGCTTGCACCCTTCCTCTGTCTGCAGCTGGCAGCCAATGATGTCACTGTTTCCCAGTGCAGTCTGAGCCAGGCAGAAAAGGGTTAAAGATGAGACTCCCCCTGTTTCCAGGCAGGTCAGTGATGTGATCCTGGTCTGACACCAACACACAGCTTATCCATATTTATTATATCACCGTGTGTTGTCAGTTTCTATATCAGAAGCTTTACACTATCCATTCTCCCATTCCAGCCCTCCCTTCCCTTCTCATCATTGGCTGCTGCCCTGGTGCTTGGCAAATCCTATTGGTCGCCCTCAGCAGCTGTCAGATAAAAAGCTGCTTTTATACAGCATAAGGACAAGAAACAATCAACCACAGAGAGGAACACGAGGGAGAGAGAGATAGAAGGAGAGAGAAAGAGATAACATGATAGACAAAGGCAAGGCAGGCAATTTCTAGAGAACAGGAGAATTTTCAGGGTTACGAGACAGACAGAAGGCCGCAAGCGACCAGGGAGGGCTGCCGAAGAAAAGGGCGTGGAAGACAAAGAATGAGAGAACGCCGAACATAAAGCCAACGGCATAAAGTTCAGGACGTCAATTGTGGAACGCAAATAGAGTCAAGACTCTTGGTGCTGTGTATAGCCAGAAGACCCTACATAGTAAGTTATTTCTTTGACTTTTGTTTGACTTCCCTTTGGGTTGCCTCATCACCTCCTTTTTGAGTTTCTTATGTGTCTTTCCTACTTTGTCTTCTGAGTTCCATCTTTTAGATGGTAGCCTATTCCTCTACACTTTGTGCCTCCATCTTTTCTTTGGGTTGCCTTTATCCATATTCATATTTGTCTCCCCATCTTACCTCTCTGGCACCACTTAGAATAATCCCCCACTGAGTTGCCTACCTTTACTTTGGGCTGCTTCATAGTGTTCCCCTTTGGGTTGCCTATTTAACCTTTGGGCTACCTAGTAGTCTTCCCCTTTGAAATGTCT